AAAAAAAAAAAAAAAAAAAGCGTACTTCTCATGAGTATTTATAGTGGAGAAAGCACTAACTTGCTTCATAAACGTTCTCCTCAAGTTAAGAATCATTAACAATTCTTCCTAATTAAAGCATAAAGCTTGGTTCACAGCCACGGAACTTGGTCCACAATTTGGCAACTACTCCGGATTATTCTATAGTTGCTCCATAAATTAAGTAACTTATTCTACTAAGTCTACTAAAAATTTTCTTAAGGTCACTCCATAAGTCAGTAACTTGTGCTACCAAGTCTGTCAACAATTTTTGTAAAGTTACTATATAAGTTAGTAATTTGTTCAACTAGCACAAGTTTATTAGCTCACAATCTCCTCCGTAAACTTGATTTTGTTTGAGATTCTTCACTCCCAGCATCTCTGCAAACTTAACCCTTGCTAGGGCCTTGTTTAGAATATTTGCACTTTGCTCTCTATTGGATACGAAATCCAAAATGATTTGTCTCTTCTCAAAACACTCACGGTCGAATTGGGAGCGAGTGTCAATGTGTTTGTTGCATTTGTGAAATATCAGATTCTTCATGAGTGCAATTGCAGATTTATTGTCGATGTAGAGAGTTACCGACTTTAGTTCACTTCTAGTCACTTCTCTTAAAAATTTTCTCAACAATAATGCTTGGAACGATGCAACAGTTGTTGCCATGAACTTGGCCTCACAGGAAGATAATGACACAGTTTGCTGCTTCTGAGATTGCTAAGAGATCAAATTTCCTTTGAGATAAAACATCATTCCTGCAGTGCTTTTTCTATCGTCAATGTCTCTAGCTAAATCACTATCGGTAAAACTGACTACTTCTTCAGGACCTCGCCCTTTTTGATACTTCATTCTGTAGTTTGTGGTTCCCTTCACATAATGGAGAATGTGCTTAACCACTTGATGATGCATCATAGTGGGCTTTTCCATGTACCTACTCATTATTCCAACAACATATGAAAGGTCCGGACGAGTATGAGTCAAGTACCTTAGACTTCTAATGACACGCCTATACTCAGTGGAATTCACAAAGTTTCCTTCAACATCTTCCACGAGTTGTAACTTTGCTTCCATGGGATATTTAGTCGAGTGACACTCTGCTATCTTAAATTGTTGCAACAACTTTATAACATAGGTCGATTGCTTTAGAACATGATGCAATCTTTTCTTTGGTCAATTTCAATACCAAGGTAGTACGTGAGTAACCCGAGATCAGTCATCTCAAATTGTTTCATCATTTACTCCTTAAACTCTTTGACTTCTTCCACACTTGGTATCAGTGACGATTAGGTCAACAACATACACGCCAACTATGAGTATTTCAGTCCTATTGTTTCTTGTATACACTGCTTATTCTTGCGAGAACTTCGTGAAGTTTAGACTATTTAAGCTCTTGTCCAGACGTATATTCCACGCCCTCGATGCTTACAGTAAATCATAGAGGGCCTTTGACAACTTGTACATTTTTTGTTCTTCGACTTTGATGATGAACCCTTCAAGTTGGGCAACATACACGTCTTCTTAGAGATCACCATTTAAGAATGCTGATTTAACATCCAAGTGATTGACCTCCCACCCGTGTTGAGCTGCAAAGGCAAGAATCAATCTTACAGATTCCAGTCTAGTCACAGGCGCAAAAACCTCCTCAAAATCAACTCCTTGTCGTTGCACGTATCCCTTCGCCATGGTCTGGCTTTATGCTTGATGACATTTCATTCACTATTCTTTTTCTACTAAAACACCCACTTCAAGTCGATGGGCTTGTGTCTGGACGGTAAGTTAGTTAGTGCCCATATATTCTTCTTCTCAATGGCTTCAAGCTCTTTTTGCATGACCTCCTGCCACATCATCTCAGTTGCTGCCTCACAGTAGGTTGTCAGCTCCTCAACCGCAAGCAACACTAACTCATCGGGATCCAATTCTTCTTCAAGTGTATCTGCATACATTTCAGCAAGAGAATGTAAATTCTTTGGTCCATCCTCTATTGTGGATCCTCCTGTACTCTCGCCTAAGCTCTCTTGCTCTAGAGAGTCTATCACATCTTTCGGTGTCACTGGTGATAACATGTGTGGACTTGTTGGTGTTGCTGTAGGGGCACTTTCTAGGTTCGTTGAGTCTCCCTCTTCTTCATGACTAGTGAACTCTGTAACAGTCTGTTTGTTATCGCCAACACTGCACTAATTCCACTTCTTCTTTTCTTCGAATATGACATCTCTACTTTCATGAATTTTCTCATGTTGCGGATCATACAGCCTGAGTGCCTTGGTCCCATCCTCTACATCAAAATGCAAAATCTTTTGGCTTCTATCATCAAGTTTTTTTATATATGGTTTTGCCGTCTTAACATGTGATGTATAACCGAAGACTCTTAGGTACTCGAAGTGAGGTGTCTTGTCGAACCATGCTTTATAAGGGGTGTGAGTGTCCAACGCCTTTGTCGGTAAATGGTTTAGAAGATAAACCGTGTGTCGTATTGCCTCACCCCAAAATATCGTCGGGACTTGCATGCTCTTGAGTAAGCTTCTTGCAGTGTTCAGTATTGTGCAGTTTCTTTGTTCGATCACAACGTTTTGTTGTAGAGTGTACGATGCGGTGAGTTGATGCTTGATACCTTCCTCTTCGCAAAACTCTGAGATGTTCTTAGATGGGAACTCGCCATCACGATCGGTGTGCAAGGTTTTCAACTTGTGATTAGTCTCATTTTCAACGAGTCTTTTGTACTTCTTGAACACACATAATGTCTCTCCTTTTTCTTTGTGAATGTCCACCCACATCCACTCTCCTTTTTCTTTGAGCATGTAAACCCACATTCAACGGCTATAATCGTCAACATGTAAGAGAAAATACTTCTTACCAGCAATCGATGATGAGTTGATTGGGCCACACAAATCTGCATGAACCAGTTGTAGGGGTCGCTCAACACGGAAACTTGTTTGAGCTGGGAACGACAATCTTGTTTGTTTGGAGACTAGGCAGCTTTCTCCTAGCTTGTTTAGATGTATGATTTTGGTAGCCTCGTAGTTTTGAGCATTTGAAAGTTCACGTGCCCAAGTCTTGCATGCAATAGCCAAGTTGAGTCTGCAAGTGTCGTCAATAGGGAGGTGGGTTGACTGGTCTCCAATGATATCTTATACAGTCAGTTATGTGACTGTTTTACCTTCATCAACAAGGTTCCATTTTTGTCGAACATCTTGAGGAACAAGCTAGCTAACTCCACTCTGTTTCCTTCTTCCATTATCTGACCAAGACTGATAATGTTACTCTTCAAGTTTGGGATATAGTATACCTTGGATGTAAATGTTGGTCGCCATTCTTGCACTGGAAAAAGATGGATCTTTTGCCTTGTATCGGTACAATTGATCCATCGCCAAACTTCACAATTCCAATGAGCTTCTCATCAAACTCCTTGAACTTTGTTCGATCTCTCTCATGTGATTGCTTACTTTGTTATCAAGGTACCACATGTTTGTCTCCACTCAATCTTCTCCTTTTGTGAGAAGGTTCACCATAACATTTTCTTCATTGAGCATCGGCATAGCCAACATTAATGCGGGCTCTTGATCTTGCGTGAGTGTGAGGTTTGCCTCTTAATCTTGCTTCTTCTTGCGACACTCTACTGCATGGTGCACATATTTTCCACAAGAGTAACACTTGATCATACTCTTGTCCTTCTAGAGGTTGCCATTTGTTAGGAACTACGACTCTCCACAATGGTACGATATTGTTCACTTTGAGCACAATCTCTCGTGACTTTGCTTTGGGCTTCCCCAAAAGGTCTCATACCAATGGAGATGTATTCCTTACTTATAAACTCATTCCCTAGATTAACCAATGTGGACTCCCTCCCAAAACCTCTCCTTGAACAAAATACACCATAGAGCCTCCCCTAAGACTTATGGAGCCCTTGAACATCTTCCCTTAATTGAGGCTCGACTCCTTCTCTTGGATCCCTCGAACAAAGTACATCCTTTGTTCGACACTTTAGTCACTTTTGACTACATCTTCGAGGCTCGCAATTCTTTGTTCGACATTTGAGGATTCTATCGACATGGCTAAGTTTAGGGCATGACTCTGATACCCTATTAGGAACCATGACTCTCCATAATGTTACGATATTGTCCACTTTAAGCATAAGCTCTCATGGTTTTGCTTTAGGCTTCCCAAAAGGCTTCAAGGGAGACATATTCCTTACTTATAAACCCATGATCATTCCCTATTAGCCAATGTGAGACTCCCTCCCAAAAACATTGTCATGGGTTTGTGAGGTATTGTCACGGCCTCCTCTGCCACAATGTCCACGACCATGTCTGCAACCACATCCATGACCTTTGTTTTCCTTGTTATAGTTGCCACATCCCCTTGTACTTGAAAAAGAAGAGCCAGTCGCATTATTTTTTTTCATTCGTGTGAGCCACTTCTCATGTATGAGTAAAAGGTATTTTTCCTCCTCTTTGTCTTCATAGTCACGAATCACTCCTCATGGACCTTAAGACGACCAACGACCTCCTCAACTGACATGTTATTGAGGTCGCCGAACTGCTCAATGGTGTAAAAATTTGCATGAATCTTGGGGGAATAGCTCGAAGGAACTTCTTGACAACAGAGATCTCCTCCACCATGTCGCCTAATGAACGGATGCTGCTGATGGTCGTTGTCAACTTCATGACAAAGTCATCTATTGACTCATCGTCCTTCATGTGGATAGCCTCAAACTCACTCTTCAAGGTTTGCGTCTTTGCTTCCTTGACACGTTCCAAGCCCACATGCATTGTTTGCAGCGTCTCCCACGCTACCTTTGTCGAGTTCTTCTCTGCCAACATGAGAAGAACGTCCTCCGAGATTGCTTGTTAGATGGCAACAAGAGTCATCCTGTCCTTACGCTCGTCAACATCACCATGCTTGATGATGTTCCACACGCCTTGTGCATGTAAGTTGATATGCATCTAGATCGACCATGCTACGTAGTTACTCTTCGTGAGTAACTGGTATTGGAGTGTTACATTCCCCTCTTTTTCTCTCTTTATCGTTGTCACTTCTTCTCCAGTGACTTTCTATAGTGACAAATTTTTTTTTTGGCATCCTTGTTTTGATACCAAATATGTTGAAACAAGTAAAAGACTTAAAGGAAAAACTTGAGGTGAGAGAGCTTTTTGGAACAAAGTAATCTGAATTATCTCTTGTTTTGTGTTGTTGTGAAAAAAACATCTCATGATTATTATTTATAGGGGAGAAAGCACCCACTTGCTCCCTAAACTTTCTCCTCAAGCTAAAGCCTTAACAATTCTTACTAATTAAAGCAGAAAGCTTGGTCCCACAGCCACAAAACTTGGTACACAATTTAGTTAACTACTACCAATTCTCTTATAGTTACTTCATAAGTTGTTAACTTATTCTATTAAGTCTACAAACAATTCTCCTAAGGTTACTAAGTTACTAGCTTGTTGTACTAATTCTACTAACAATTCCCCGAAAGTTACTATATAAATTATTAACTTGTTCGACTAGCTAAGGTTTATTAGCTTACAAAATGGGTATCGAAAAGTTCTATTATGATATAAACAAATTGAATTCAAATTGTGCAGATTGTACAATATTTATTGTCTATCAAGGGAATAAAAACGGGAACAAACACTACAAACAACTATGCTGCATCAAATGAGAAGGGATCACCAAACAGAATTGAAGAACCATGTTATGATGGGTTATCGACATCACCACCGCCCAAAAACTTAATGACAAGTTCATTGAAGTCGAAACTTGAATACAAAGGTGATTGGTTCCAAGAAGTGCAAGGTACAATGATGTTGGTGGCAACGGTTATTGCAACAGTGGCTTTTCAAGGTGCAATCAACCCTCCCGGCGGTGTTTGGCAAGAAGATATTCCTTATAACTCCAATAGTACTATTCATCGTTCGTTTCATAGTAGCAATACTTTGAAAACTTTCATGGCAGGAACTGCCGTAATGGGCTACCCAGCTTCATGCCAAGGAAACTATTACACAGCTTACTTGATTACGAATTCTGTCTCATTCTTTGCATCAGTAGGTGTGATTATGTTTATAATAGGTCGATTGCCTTTGAAAAATAGGATTTGTGCATGGTTATTAACCGTAACCATGTGCATTGCCATTGCATCCTTATCACATAGTTATTTATTGGGAGTTTGGCTGCTAAATGCCTCGTTTAGGAATTCTTATGCTTCAAGAGTAACATTTCTAACAGCATGGCACATCTTGTTAGCAATGTTGGGAGTGGTTTGTCTTTGTTGTATTGTTATTCCTTTCGTTACTTTAGTGGTGAAGCTTCTCGCTTGGTCAAGGGCTACACATAAAGATCAAGGGCTACACAAAACCTAGGTTATATTGTGTGTTTCATCATGTATTTTGGATATGTTTTATTTGGGGTGGTGTGTGTATTTATAATAAGAAAAAAAGTTAACCGTAAATTATTCATGATAGTAGAAGTAACGACCTGATTTTTTAGTCTTCGAATAATATATCTTGACAAAAATGACAGACCTCAAGCATTTGATATTCAAGTCGGTCTGATTTTCAACTTTAGCTTACCAGATCTTGAAGGTGGCAAATACATCTGACTTGTGTTTCAGGAAATAAACCCATACCATACCTTCCTACTGAAATCATCGATGAAGGTGACCTAGAACTTTGATCCACCAAGTCATGAAACTGGAGATGGTCCCCAAACGTCTGTATAGATCATTTATAATCGTACTTTCTTTCGTATATATAGCAGCCTTTGTGAAGCCAACTCTTTTTTGTTTGCCCATAACGCAGCTCTCACGAAGACCCGTATGAACAAATTTTAGGTCTTCTAAAACTCCTTTCGCAGCCAGCATCTTCATTCTTTTGACGCTCATATGTCCAAGTCTATTGTGTCATAGACTTGTGCTCTCTCAGCCATAGCAGCCATGTTTATACACCCTGTAGTGGTGTATAAGGTTCCATATTTTATCTAACGTGCTACCACCATGACACCCTTTACAATCTTCCACAAACTCTTTCTAAACTCGACTGCATAACCTGTGCTGTCCAACTAACCAATAGAAATCATGTTCTTCTTGAGATCAGAAATATATTTGACATCCTTTAATATCCACTAATTTTCTACTGGAGTTTGTATGCTTTCATCTCCTTTCCCTTCGATCACTAAATTTATGTTGTCTGCAAGATACACCTTCTCAAAATTTCAAGACATGAAATTTTGAAACAACTATTGATTTGGAGTTGAATTAAAAGATGTGCTTGAATCCAAAATCTAGGATTCAATCGGACTGTTCACTTGAGGATTAAAGCATCCTCAATATCCTATACTGAATTTATAGAATCATTATCATCCTTTGATTTGTGATTCATTTTTCTCTTTGGTCTTGTACAATCAGTGCAAAAGTGATCTTTTTCTCTACAACTACAACACGTCACGTTTGGTCTATGTGGAAAATTTTTGCGATTCTTTGATTTTGATTGACCTTTGTTTAGGCCATTTGATCTACTTCTTCCCCTTCGGTCAGCACTGAGCACTACGAGAAGAATCCTCAATTTCTTGTTTACGAATACTTTCGTTCAAAACTACATCTCAGATTTCATCGAACTTTAGTTTCTCAGATCTTCGGGAACTGATGGTTGCGATAACAATAGTATCTCACGACTAGGGTAAAGATGACATCAAATTCAATGCTTTAATTTCATCATTGAAATTAATTTTCACCGAACTCAATTGACTTACTATCATGTTGAACTCATTTATATGATCAACAACAGATCCACCTTCAGACATTTGTAGATTGAACAATCTCCGCATCAAATACACCTTATTCATAGCCAACGGTTTTTCATACATATTTGACATCCCCTTCAACAGATTTGACATTGTCTTCTCCTTGATGATGCTAGACGCCACGTTTCTGGACGGCGTCAACCGGATCAACCCTAGGGCCTGACGATCCTAGAGCTTCCATTGCTCCGTGGTCATGATATCTGGCTTCACCCCCAACAAGGGTTAGTTAAAATCTTTCTAGTACAAATAATCTTCAATTTGCATCTTCCAGAAACCGAAATTGGATCCATCAAACTTCTCAATTGCAATCTTTGAACTTTCAATCTCTGATACCCGTTGTTAGGATTGCACAACGACGTACACACTCATGAAGATGAACCCAAAAAAATAGGAGAGAGAAAATGCAAGAAGAAATATTGGCTAAAGAATTTGTATTTATGATATTAGATATGCACCACCCAAGAGTTATAATATGGTTTTAGTTTACTATATGACTTTAACTCATATAACACCTATTAGATATAAATATTTACTACATAACATCACTTTCCTTTTTAATTACAACAAAAAGGTTGACTGAAAACTATTTTGAAATAAATATAAGGAAAAAAATGAAACGTTTCTATTACTAAATTTAACAAGTGTGGTGTATAACTTAACTTAATCAAACCACGAGATGTATTATCCTTATCCATGAGAAATGATAGCATCCCAATAAAATTAAGTGAAATAAATAATGATATATACATCTATCCATGTTCAATAAATAAGCTTCCTTCGGTTTGCTTCCCATCCACTTAAACTAGGATGGTGACACTTTGGTGTCACTCTCGAGTGAAAGTATAAATAATGATATATACATCTATCCATGATTCAACAAATAAGCTTCTTCGGTTTGCTTCCCATCCACTTAAACTAGGATGGTGACACTTTGGTGTCACTCTCGAGTGAAAGTATAAATAATGATACATACATCTATCCATGATTCAACAAATAAGTTTCCTTCGGTTTGCTTTCCATCCACTTAAACTAGGATGGTGACACTTTGGTGTCAGTGTCACTCTCTAGTGAAAGTATAAATAATGATGTTTTTTCTTCTTGGAATAGAGGGCAATAATTAGACTATTTTTTAAATTCAAAAGGTCAACTTTAAATTAGTTGAGAGCCTCAACATCTATTAAAAATAAATAAATAAAATATAGTATTTTTAATGTTGGCTTATAAATTCTATGTGAAAACCCCAATTGGAAGTAAGTTAGAGAAACAATAATGGAGGCAAATGAAGAAAACAACCAACTTAGATTAGCCATTTCCTCTTTTGAAGAAAGTAAAAGAAAGCTCTATGAAGCATCAAAGATTGGGTCCATTCAAAGCTTGAAGACACTAATTCGAGGCGACCCAAATATCATTCAAAGAGTTCTAATCTCTTCATCCAACGTTGAGAGTCCATTGCATGTCTCAGTTTTGCATCACCACCTTGAATTCACTCGATTTCTTTTGAATCTCGTGCCTGAACTTGCGGGAGAAGTTGATGACCTGCAAAGGACACCTCTCCACTTAGCTTCTGAAAATGGAACGGTCGAAATTGTTCAAGCTTTGCTGGAGAAGAACACAAGCACTTGCATGGTTCGTGATTTGAATGGGTTGATTCCTCTCCACCATGCAGTGATTAATGGAAGAATTGATATCATGCAACGGTTGATCATTGCGAGGCCAAGATCTCCTTGGGTTAAGCTTCACAATGGTCAAACTATTCTTCACTTATGCATAAAACACAACCATTTGGAAGCTCTTAAGTTGTTGATCACAATGATTGAAGATCCACAGAATTATGGCTTTCTCAACCAGGGCGATGAAAATGAAAATACGATTTTGGATTTGTCTATGATGTTAAGACGAACTGAGGTATGTTATTATAATTGAAATATAGCTGGTCCAAGAAAAACTAATTTCTTATTTGATTGTTTAAAACAACTGAAAAATTATTATTTCGGAGCTTAAATAGGTATCAAATAGGCCACCATCCTCCTCTCGAACGAAGTACAGTATAGAGCTTCCCTTAAGGCCTATAGAACCCTCGAGCAAAGTACACTATTTGTTTGAAACTTGAGTCACTTTTGACTACACCTTCGAGGGTCCCAACTTCTTTCGTTTGATATTTGAGGATTCTATTGATATGACTAGGTTTACCATGTTAGGAATCATGGATCTCCACAGAGATATGATATTGTCCACTTTGAGCATAAGCTCTGGTGGCTTTCTTTGAGCTTCCGTAGAAGACCTCATATCAATGGAGATGTATTCCTTCCCACTATCTTCCTATAAAAAAAATTGAATTCAAATTGTGCAGATAATACAATATTTATTGTCTATCCCGGGAATAAAAACTGGAACAAACATTGTAAACAACTCCGATGCCTCAAATGAGAAGGAATCGCCAAGTAGAATTGAAGAACAATGCAATAAAGGGTCATCAACATCAACAACACTCACAAAGCTCCTGAGAAGTTTGTGGACAAAGAACCTTGAATACAAAGGTGATTGGCTTCAAGACGTGCAAGGCACAATGATGTTGGTGGCAACAGTGATTGCAACCGTGGCTTTTCAAGGTGCAATCAACCCTCCTGGCGGTGTTTGGCAACAAGACATTCCTTACAACTCCAATAGCACTATTCATCGTTCGTTGCAGTGTAACACTACTTTAAAAACTTTCATAGCAGGAACGGCAATAATGGCTTACCCAGCTTCTGGCCAAGAATATTATTACGTTGCTTACTTGATTACAAATTCTATCTCATTCTTTGCATCAATATGTGTGATTATGTTCATTATAGGTAGATTGCCCTTGAAAAATAGGATTTGTTCATGGTTATTAACAGTAACCATGTGCATTGCCATTGCATCCTTGTCATATAGTTACTTACTGGCTGTTGGGATGCTAAATGTCTCATTTAGCCATTCAAGTACTTTACGAGTAACATTTATAATAGCATGGTACATTTGGTTAGTAATGGGGGGAGTGGTTTTTATTTGTTGCATTATAATTCCCCTCCTTATTTTGGTGGTGAAGCTTCTCGTTTGGGCGGCAAAAAGAGAGATGCAATGACTTCAACCCCAACTCAATAAAGATAGAGGGCTACACAAAAACCTAGTTATGTTGTGTGTTTCATCTTGTATTTCGGATATGGATTATTTGTGGTGTTGTGTGTATTTACAATAAGGAAAACATATCTTAGTTTATATCTTTTAGTTGATTTACTCGATTTTTGGTAGAGAATAAATGACACTACCGGAATAGTTAATATAAGATCTACGATCAAGATTGTTCTTCGATCACTTTTGATTATGGAAGAAAGTAAAAGAAAGCTCTATGAGGCATAAAAGATTGGGTCCATTCAAAGCTGGAAGACACTAATTTGAGGCGACCTAAATATCATTCAAAGAGTTCTAATCTCCTCTTCCAACGTTGAGAGTCCATTGCATGTCACAGTTTTGCATCACCATCTTGAATTCACTCGATTTCTACTGAATCTCGAGCCTAAACTTGCTGGGGAAGTTGATGACCTACAAAGTGTTAAGCACTGTCATAAGCCCTATTCTCTAGGACCAAGACCTATTCTCAAGGTCTTGCTAATATCTTTAGGTTTAGCAGAAACCTATATAATGCCATTCTTTCTGTTGTTGAAAAATCAAGTCTTTTAGTGCAATATTGTATGTCTTGAGTGATTTTGGTGTTGTGAGTACATTTGTTCCGCTTTCGGATCACAACAAGTGGTATCAGAGCCAGGTTGTGGTATTTTGGGGTATTGTGAAAGCTTGGGCCTCATCGACCATGAGACGTGCTCACAATCGTGTTTATTCTCTTGAAATTCAATTTTCAAGAATTGTGTTTTTGAGTTTCATCCAGATTAATTATTGCAAATGGCAGAACCATCACGACGTGGATCGAGAGTGTGGAGTTCCAATCTCGAAGTAGAGAAATTTGATGGAACCAATAATTTTGGTGTTTGGCGAGGCGAAGTTAGCGATTTGCTGGTCATGCAAGACCTCGATGTTTCTTTGCCGGAATCATACGAGTTTTTAGTAACGACCCTACTACATGAAATCACTAATATTGATTTTGAAGATGTTTCAAATGCCTTAATAAACAATGAGATGCGGAAAAAGGAAAAGGAGACGTATCAAAGCTCTAGCTCAAATGTTTTCACTGCTCATGGAAGGACTTCTAATTGGAAAAAGAACGAATGTGGAGAGTCTTGATTAAAGTCGAGAGGTAGATCTGACAATTGGAGAAAACTTGATAAAAAAGAGTGTGCATATTGTCGACAGAAAGACCATTGGAAAAAGGATTGTTCGATCTTAAAAGAGAAGGGGTCGAAGTCCAATGTGGTTAGAGATGACGACACTGATACAGATGATGCCTTGACAATCTCCCTTTCGGTCAGCCAAACTAGTGAATGGATTCTTGATTCTGGGTGCTCCTATCATATGTGTCCCAACAAAGAGATGTTTTTGGACTTCAAAAAGTTCAATGGTGGAGTTGTCTATATGGGCAATGATAGTACTTGCAATATAATGGGAATCAACTCAGTACAAATCAAGATGTTTGATGGGGTTATACGAAAACTCAAAGAGGTGAGGTATGTCCCTGACTTGAAGAAAAATTTGATCTCACTTGGCGTTTTGGATGCGAGTGGTTATCGCATCATTTTGGAAGGAGGGAATTTGAAAGTAGCTCGTGGAGCTTTGGTGGCAATTACAGGAACTAGAAGAGGTAGCATATACTACCTCAACGGAACCACAATAATTGGGCATTCTGCTGTGGCAAGTTCGAAAGAACAAGACATATCGAAATTATGGCACATGCGACTCGAGCATGCTGGTGAGAAGGCGCTTCAGACACTGGTGAACCAAGGAGTCCTTAAGGGTGCCACAACTGGAAGAATTGATTTCTGTGAACATTGTATATTTGGTAAACAAAAAAATGTGAAGTTTGGTACTGCTATACACCAAACAAAGGGCATTTTGGATTATGTTCACACTGATATATGGGGTCCCACAAAGAATGTCTCATTGGGAGGGAAGAGGTGGTTCGTCACCTTTATTGATGACTACTCGAAGAGAGTTTGGATGTATCCCATGAGGCACAAAAACGAGGTTCTCCAAATCTTCCTAGAGTGGAAGAAAATGGTAGAGAATCAGACGGACAGGAAAATAAAAAGGCTGAGATCAGACAACGGGGGAGAATATACTTATGATCCATTCCTTAAAGTATGCCGAGATGAAGGGATCGTTCGACACTTCACTGTTCCTGGTAAGCCACAACAAAATGGAGTTGCTGAGAGAATGAACCAGACATTAACAGAGAAGGTTCGATGCATATTGTCTCAAGCAGGATTGAGTAAAGCATTTTGGGCTGAGGCTCTCAGTTATGCAGTTCACTTGGTGAATCGTTTACCTGTTTCTGGAAACGGTGGGAGAACTCCGCTTGAGGTATGGTCAGGTAGTCCTGTTAGTGATTATGATAAATTGCATGTGTTTGGGTGTCCTGCTTATTATCATGTGACAGACTCAAAGCTGGATCCTAGAGCAAAAAAAGCCAAGTTTATGGGCTTTAGCAAAGGTGTGAAGGGCTATAGGTTATGGTGTCCAGAAACAAATAAGATTGTTAATAGTCGAGATGTGACATTCGATGAGTCTGGAATGTTTTTGCAGAAAATTGAAAATAATGACGAGGCATTGAAGCAGGTGGAGAAGGTGGTGTTCTCTCCTGATGTGGTTGCTTCTACTGAAGAACCTATTGATCAGGTAAATAATAACTTTGATGTCCTAGAACAGAAAGAGCAAAGTCTTGAGGAGCAAAGCCTTGTAAATGAAAGAGTGGAGGAACCTGAGTCAATCGCCAAGAATAGACCACGAAGGGTAATTCGAAAACCTGCAAGGTTTGATGATACGATAACATATGCTTTCTCTTTGATTGATGGAGTTCCTAACAGTTACAAAGATGATATTCAGAGCCCGGATAGCTTACACTGGCAAGAGGTTGTGAATCAGGAGATAGCATCATTGGAGATAAATCAAACTTGAAATTTGGTACAACTTCCAAAAGGTAAGAAGGAAATTGGTTGTAAATGAGTTTTTGCAAAAAAGGAAGACCCTTTTGGTATACGTTATAAGGCTCTGACTTGTGGCTAAAGGCTACGCACAAAAAGAAGGTATTGATTATAATGAAATTTTCTCACCTGTGGTAAAACATTCTTCGATTCGAAGTTTGTTGGCTTTGGTTGTTCAATTTAATCTTGAGCTTGCACAACTCGATGTAAAAACTGCCTTTTTGCATGGAGATTTGGAAGAAGAAATATATATGGCACAACCAGTTGGTTTCCGAGTAGTTGGACAACAACATTTAGTATGCAGATTGAAGAAATCTTTGTATGGCCTGAAACAATCCCCTCGCCAATGGTATAAAAGGTTTGATCATTTCATGGTAGAGCATATGTATACTCATAGTCAATTTGACCATTGTGTGTATTATCGATGTCTCGATGATGGATCGTTTATTTACTTGCTCTTATATGTTGATGATATGTTAATTGCTTCAAAGAGACAGGTGGAGATTGATAATCTCAAAGATGAGCTTTCTAAAACATTTGAAATGAAAGACTTAGGCAATGCAAAGAAAATACTTGGAATGGAGATAGAGCGAGATCGAAAAAAAGGTATAGTCTGGTTGACTCAGTCTCAATATCTACGCAAGGTATTGTCAAGATTTAGTTTGAATGATTCAACCAAACCCGTTAGCACTCCACTTGCTCCTCATTTCAAGCTGAGTGCTTCCATGTGTCCAAGTTCTGACGATGACAAAAGGTATATGGAGAACATTCCTTATACAAATGCTGTTGGTGCGTTGATGTATGCTATGGTGTGTACTCGACTTGATCTTTCACACGCAGTAAGCATAGTGAGTCGTTATATGCATAATCCTGGTAAAGAGCATTGGCAGGCTGTAAAATGGATTCTTAGGTACATTCTTGGCACTATTGATGTTGGTATTAAGTTTCAAAAACAAGAAATGTTTAATCTTGACAATCGTGTAGCTGATTTTGTGGATTCTGATTATGCTGGTGATTTGGATAAGCGACGATCTACTACGGGATATTTATTTACTATGGCTGGTGGACCTATTTGTTGGCGTTCAACATTGCAGTCTACGGTTGCATTGTCTACCACTGAAGCAGAGTATATGGCAGTAACGGAAGCTTTTAAAGAAGCTATTTGGATGCATGGTTTGATCAATGACTTGGGTATTTTGCAGGGACATATAGATGTATTTTGTGATAGGCAGAGCGCTATTTGCTTGTCAAAAAATCAAGTCCATCATGCTCGTACAAAACACATTGATGTCCGTTTTCACTTTATTCGAGAAATTATTAGCAAAGGGGATATTCGTTTACTAGAAATTGGAATTGCTGATAACCCTGCTGATATGTTGACAAAGGTGATCGCTCGTGAAAAGTTCTGCCATTGTTTGGATCTCATCAACGTCGCAAGGAAGGAGTAGTGTGTTGACGTGGTAACAACCAAATTCGCTATCAACTTGGAGATCTTATGACAAGGTGGAGATTGTTAAACACTGTCATAAGCCCTATTCTCTAGAACCAAGACCTATTCTCAAGGTCTTGCTCATATTTTTAGGCTTGTTAGTTTATCTTTAGGTTTAGTAGAAGGCTATATAATGCCATTCTTTCTGTTGTTGTTGAAAAATCAAGTCTTTTAGTGCAATATTGTATGTCTTGAGTGATTTTGGTGTTGTGAGTACATTTGTTCTGCTTTCGGATCACAACACAAA